CACTGACAGTGGCAGAATTTCAGTCTTAGTATTATTGGATCTCAGTGCTGCATTCGACACGGTCGACCACAACATATTACTAGACAGACTTGAAAACTGGGTTGGACTTTCTGGCACTTGACTAAAATGGTTTGCATCCTGCTTAAAGGACAGGGACTACTTTGTGTCTATAGGTAAACACACATCTGAGCTGACAAAAATGACATGTGGAGTTCCCCAAGGGTCCATTCAGGGACCTCTTTTGTTTAACATTTACATGCTTCCACAGGCTAAGATTATGAAAAATAACAAATATGTTACTATAATTATGCAGATGACACACAGATTTACATAACAATATCACCAGGGAACTATTACCGGTTAACGGTTGAATGTGCCAGAATTTTCTTCAATTAAACAAAGCCGGGGAAGAACGATTGAAAGTCAGTGCTCGACTTCAATCTGTAATGTTAAGAACTGCAAATCAAGCCAGAAATCTTGGTGTAGTCATGGACTCAGACCTTAATTTGAGGAGCCACATTAAGACAATTAAAAGTCAGCCTACGATCACCTGAAAAATATATCAAGGAATAAAGGACTTATGTCTCAGCAAGACCTGGAAAAACTTCAGTTACTGTTACAGTCAACTCGACTACTGTAACAGTGTCCTTACAGGGCTCGCTAAGAAATCCATCAGACAGCTGCAGCTGATTCAGAACGCTGCTGCTCGAGTCCTCACTAAGACCAAAAAGGTGGATCACATCACTCCAGTTCTGAGGTCTTAGTTAGTTTATAAAGCACTAAATGGTTTAGGGCCAAAATACATTTCTGATCTTCTGCTTCGTTACGAACCATCCAGACCTCTCAGGTCGTCTGGGATCAGGTCTGCTTTCTGTCCCCAGAGTCAAAACTAAACAAGGAGAAGCAGCGTTCAGTTATTATGCTCCGTATATCTGGAACAAACTCCCAGATAACTGCAGGTCTGCTGAAACTGTCAGTTCTTTTAAATTCAGACTGAAGACTTTTCTTTTTATCATTGCTTTTAATTAAATATTTAAGACTTTTCTTATTACCACTGCCTTTAACTAGTAGATTGATAACTTACACTGCACTGTAACTTTTACTGTCCTGTTTTCGTTTTCTTTGTTTTTAGATATTAACACTATTTAAAAAGCTTAGAGTGCTCTTTTGATTCTACCATCTCACACGCCTGATCCTCAGTTAACAGAGCCGAGTAGAATTACAAGGATTAGAGTCCCTGTTTTGTCCGCTGTTAACTTGTTGACAGGGCCCGCTGTCAAACTCTTTTACCAGAGTTTGAAGCGTGGACAATCTGGATTTACATTGACGACTTTCTAAAGAAGGGTTAGAGTCCCCTTAGGGTTAGAGTCACTAAGTAACTGAAGAGGGGATGGAGTGGGAGATCCTTCTCTCACCCCTACTGATCATAAACCTAAGATGCAAAAAATATTAAATGCATATCTTGTTCTCTTACATTTACTGGCATCACCACAATGATAACAGAGCTTTTGCTCCGCTGTTTTGCTGCTCTAGTCAGAAAGACGGTGGGGAAATGAAACAACGTTTAACTTATTTTAAAAACCTGAAAGATCCGGGGCTTTTGACAAAACATTTGGGGCTTAAGCCCAATTAGCCCCCGCTCCGCCTATGGGGCCTTCATTCAAACGTAACTAATGAGGCTCCCCTTGTAACCCTGTAGTTACACCTTAATGTTAGTATCCACTGCATGGACTGTATAAAAGGTGTCCACTGATATGCCCATACTCTCTAATTACAGTCACAACGAGCAATGTGCTGTTCTCCCATTCTTACTCTGTATAGACATAGGTATTTACACATGGCATGTGGGCGGAATATAAAATGTAAACAGTTATAGTTTAATGATGATTATTTATTCCTGTGTGTTGTTTTGGGGTATTTTCCACATTGTCTTGTTGTTCTTCTCCTCATTCTTCTTGTCCTCTTCTGAGAAAAATGTGGTTGTCTCAAAAAAGGAGTTCTCACCTATTCCTCCTCTGCTTTGCCCATAAAGAGAAAAAAACTGTTACTGCTGGTTATGTGCAGAAAAGACTCATAATAATCATAAAACATAGCTCAACACGAACATTTAAGCAAACATTTAATTCAACAGTCAAGGTTTGTTTTTAGCTTCACACCATTAACATTAGCTAAACGCTGTGGGATTTCACACTGCTTAAATTAGGCTAGCGGCTTTTCCCTCTACTCACAGCTTAACAAAATACATGTATAATATATACTATTTCTTACTCACCGCACAGATCACACAGCTTACTTCTTGTTGCCAGTAGGTGTGATTATAACTGACAATTGACCCTTCGCTAAGCTAGGTTTAGGAAAGAGAATAAATCGTTCTTTTCCTATCAACCTCTCTGGGTGGTGACTGTAACTATTACAAGTGCCCCAGGAACTGCGTTTGACCATATCTTATTGGCCAGCTGTGTATTCGGGGCGTGGCTTAGTGAAGGGTCAATTGGCATGTTGATGTGTTCAGTGCAGGACTGTCATAATACATGTCAAATTTACAAGGGCTGCACAATTAATCTAATTGCAATTGACATCATCCTGTGGTATTACATAACCACAAAAAGGGTGCAAATTAACAACAAAATAGTGTGCTGTGTGTGACTCTCGTCTTTGTGTTTGCTGCAGTCTGCTCATTATCCACGCCCACAACAGGCTCTCGCATGTCTTAAAAATAGATACGTGTCAACCAGAAAACTGATTTATGAGCAGTGTGCCAGTAATGATAAAGAAAACAACCTACTGCAACCCCCCTCCCCATCCCGATGCTAGTCGTTCAAAACATTGTCGGACTTGCCACCGGAGCACGGACTTCAACGCCGGTGCGCCGGATGCTCTCATTGTCTTACCACTTTAGAGAGGCTGAAGTGGTAAGAGAGAAGAAAACAGGGGAAAGATAAGGAATGTTTGGGTTTGGCTCGCTGGCCATTTAACGTTAGCTGTATCAGTGCCTTGTGTTGTTCAACATGTTCAACTTTTCATAAAGCCAATGTGCTGGTCAGTGGCCGTATTTCCATCAACGTTTTTTTAATGAGCATAGGTGGTGATGGCATAATGGACATGCCTTTGGTGTGAGAGACCCGGGTACAATCCCCCACTGTGACCCATCCACCATTGTGTCCCTGAGCAAGACACTTAACCCCTAGTTGCTCCAGAGGCGTGCGACCTCTGACATGTATATAGCAATTGTAAGTCACTTTGGATAAAAGCGTCAGCGAAATGAATAAATGTAGAAAAGGTTGATGGAAATGTCAAAATTCGACAAATAGTCCTTAATTTCGCAAAAAAGATTTTACGTTCGGTTGGTGTTTTTTTTTGTCAACAAGAGTAAATGCGCTAAATGGGAGATGGAAAAACTTTTTCCGAATAAGTTCTGACGTAGCTAACTTGTAACTCACGACTGATCAGCTGTTTCTGCAGTCAGCGTCTTGCACGGTTGTGCAGAGTTCTGCGTGCCTGCCGAGAATTTCATGCACCTCGTGGCTGGTAATGCTCAATTATGCTGACAAAATAGGTGGATGCAAATCTCGACAGGTAGCCTTCATCATCTGTTCTGCCAAATTATGCATTCACCTCTTAAAAGGTCCTTTTCAGATACTTTGCTCTGCACACTGATCAAACGGGGTTATCAGCGTATATTTTTCGCTGAATCTCAAAGAATGCTACTTCTACTGAGTGTAATAAAATATTAACAACTCTAAATGTTCATAAAATAAATACTTTGAATCATTTATCACCATTGATGTACCCCACAAAAGATATAATAGCATTTAAAAGCATTATTTGGAGGTGCATGCAATCCTCGCAGGTGTGCAAAACTCGGCAACACTGGATATTCCCATAACGTTTGGAGACATGGCCGGCAGCAACTTGCCCACTGGACCGCTCTCCATTTGTCTAAGATCAATGGCCCTCAGGTTCATGCGACTGGTTTGGAACCCATACATCGTGTTTATTACAGCCATGTGTAACATCAACTACTGACGTAACTACGCTTGCCGTAGCCTGGGTTTATTCGCTCCAAACCAGCTGATGGAACCATACTTATTTCACAATCTCTTTTTATTCTGTTTGGCAACATTTCAAAAGTACGCTTAAAATTCGCATGACAATTAGGCAAGGCAAGTGTATTTGTATAGCACATTTCAGCAACAAGGTCATTCTAAGTGCTTTACATAAAACAAACAGGGAAAAAGTAAAAAAAATTAAATTTAAAAATTTAAAAAATAAAGTTACATAGAAAATAAAAACAGGCAAGTCTCTCACTTTTGCTTATTTTACTCCTTTGATTTCCCATCTCCCACTCTACCGCCCATTTTTTACACTTAGGGACTCTATCCATTATTCCTTAGATACAGTTGTCTCTATCCAGATTGTCTACGCTACAAACTCTGGTAAAAGCGTTTGACAGCGGGACCCTGTCAACAAGTTACTTAGGGACTCTAACCCTAAGGGGACTCCAAGATGGAAACATGGCTAGTGTCCCTTTTGTCAATTGACCAATCACAGCTACAGTAAACTTTCAAAGTTTTGACATGATTATTAACAAGTTAGTACTTAGCATTTACAAATTTCCGACCAATGTAGAGCTCCTTTCCTGCACAAGGATTTAATGACTAAAACAACCCACAGAAATGAAACAGCTATAACTGGATTTAATAATCAACTAGTGGTAAAATATCATACTATTATACAAAATCACGATGAATATAGTAATTATATTATTACACTAACGGTATACTATTAACTGAACATTATACTCCTACTTAATGTTATAATATTATACTAATACTCTCCAGGTTGCAGATGGAGTCTCTGCAGTGGACAGATGTAGATTTAGCCAGAGTCACAATGCCAGTGTGCCAATATTTGCTCCTTTTAGCCTCCTCCTCCTCAGAGAAACCCTTGTTCTCTTTTAAGGTTATTTTTATAAATACAATTTATCATTTAAAATGTTCAAAATGAAGCAGTGTGAATGCGTTGGTGGGATTTAAGCTGACGACACTGAGAAAAAGTTTTCCCACATTGGTCACACGAGTACGGCTTCTCCCCTGTGTGAACACGTTGATGGCATTTTAGCTCTCTTGATCTAGTGAAAGCTTTCCCACATTGGTCACACCAGTACGGCTTCTCCCCAGTGTGAACACGTCTGTGATTTACTAGATCACTTGATATAGTGAAAGCTTTCCCACATAGGTCACACCAGTACGGTTTCTCCCCAGTGTGAAAACGATGGTGCCTCTTTAATTCAACTGATGTAGCGAAAGCTTTCCCACACTGGTCACACCAGTATGGTTTCTCCCCAGTGTGACCACGTCGATGGACATTTAGGTTACTTGATGTACTGAAAGATTTCCCACATTCTCCACACGAGTATGGTTTTTCTCCAGTGTGAACACGACGGTGCCTTTTTAAGTCACGTAATGTAGCGTAAGCTTTCCCACATTGGTCACACCGGTGTGGTTTCTCACCAGTGTGAAGACGTCTGTGATTTACTAGATCACCTGATATAGCAAAAGCTTTCCCACATTGGTCGCAGCTGTATGGTTTCTCTCCAGTGTGAATACGTCTGTGTCTTCCTAGGTTCCATGATGCAGTGAAAGCTTTCCCACACTGGTCACACCTGTGTGGTCTCTCTCCAGTGTGAAGCCTCTGATGAATCTTTAAATATCCAGATGTTGTGAAGGATTTGTCACAGTGCTGACAGCGGTGACGTTTCAGTCCCTCTCCTCTCTGTTTCTATAGCACAGACAGACATACAGAGAGAAAGACAATGACTGAGAGGTCCTGCTGTAGTGAGCTATTTAGGACCATAAATGACATTTAGAGCATGTCTGTGGAACATAACCCACAATGTTCAAGTTTGATTGCCAACTAATGCATTACCACCTGTGACGATAAACTGCAGGAGTGTGTCCACAGAGGGACCTGGGGAAACGGCATTAAAGGAACCGTTCTAAGCTGGTTAAAGTTTAATTATCAGATAGATCTCAGTTTGTACATGCTAACAAGGAAACCTCCATGCACAGCAAAGTTAGTCACAGAGTTCAACAAGATAACTTCATGTTAGTTTCTAACCCAAAACTTAGCTAACATTTATGACATTTCTTGATTTGCCCTCCACGCCGCACCCCAACCAGCCAAGGCAGGTTAGGATTCAGCTTAAAGTGTCTACCTGCTAAAAGGAAGTTTTCCCTGCCTTTGTCAGCAAGTGCTTGCTCATGGAGGAAATTGATCGGCCTCTGTAAATAATATCACAAAGACCACATTCTAGACCTCTGTATGGAAAGTGCAATGACATAACTTCTGTTATGAATCGGAACTATTTAAATGAAATTTACTTAAAAATTCCCATCCCAAATACTTGTAAACTTTTACAGAGGAGCAAAATAAAGCATCCTGACTGGAAACATCAAAGGGTGTGGACCAGAGGGCTGCGCCAGTTTTGCCCCGCAGAGAAGATTCCAGAGTTGAATGGCTATTATCATGAACACCAGGCGTCCAACATGAACGGATTCAAGTTAGTCTATCTGTTCTTAACACAATGCTGTCAATCTCAAAGACCCACCTTCAAATAAGTTATTAACAAGCATGTAAGGAGCCTAGCTAATAAGGACGGCTATATTAATGTCAGAAAATTAACGTCAGAACATTAACGTCAACGTGCTGTACAAAGCTGCTAGTCAATATCACTTGCGCTTTTATATATATATATATATATATATATATATATATATCTCTCAGGTATTAAAATGAACAGATGAAAAAGTATCATGAAATGACAACTGTATTTTATTGCCAGGAAACATGGGCAACAAATTCCACTCCCTCCGTCTTAGAGACTTAAACCATAGCAGCCTTTGCCTAATTACTGCGAGCATCTTATAGCTTATCAAATATAGCTTTCAGAAACAGAAAAAACAGCATTTTTATAAATTTACTTCAACTATAAAAACTGCAACAAAGAAGGCTGCAGCCAAAATATTTAGGAGATGAAGGAGCACAGGTATCATGAGTCAATGATACTCTGAAGTAGCTGCTTTTTGTTCTGGAAAGCTCAGGCAGGTTGTTTGGACGTTAGGGGGTAGAGAGAGGAATAGAGAGAGGGAGAGTGGGCTACAGAGGAGTCATAACTGTTATCGTTGAGATTTGAAAATAAGGGAAATTTAAATAAACTATGGCAGAGGGACCAAACTGTCAAGCTTTATTTCCACCAAAGAAATGGCTGAAGTCGGCAGTGTGGGAGTATTTCTGGTACGCCAAGACTGACTGGGCGTTACTGTAGATGACTGATCAGCTGTTCAAAAACTTGCCGTTAAAAGGTTCCTGCTACAGGAGCGAATAACTACATTAAACTTGATGCAGCACCTGCAGGATCACCACCCAGCTTTGCACGCCCAATTAAAGGTAGGCCTACTACATTATATTAAATAATGTAGCATGTTGGTAGGGAATAAATATAAACGTGTCACTTACAATCAATGCCGTAGTGGTGAGAGTCGAGCTTTCAGGGCAACGTAAACAAACAAAGCAGGTGTAACCTTTCAGATCCACCGCACCGACAGCCTCACTGCGCTATGAGGCCCATTATTTTCAATGGCTTGTGCCGCGCCAGGGTGGTTTGTAGCTGCGTCGAGTAAAGTGCACTGCACAGCGAGCTTGCGCGCACACAGCAATCAAAGTAGTAGAACTTAAGTCTGAGCAGCTTCCACGCAGTGCAAAACGCTTCTTTTCTGAAAGGGCCTTTGTGGAAGAAAGAACGTAGTCCCCTCAAGACCTTCAGTCACTGAACATTTAACATTACATCATGTTGTCTTCTCCTGTCTGTGCAGAGAAAATGTTGCCAGATGTAAAACACTAACATACATCAGGAGCTTATAGACTTTCAGACTATAGGCTACCAATTAACTGCATTTCAGTTAACACTGCACTCAATTTCTTTCCATCCTTTTCATTAAAACATGTGTATGGATGATAGTTGATGACAGTAACAGTTCAGTTTATTCCCCTCCTTTATAACAATTTCCCCTGGTGGATAAAAGTTAATATTCCTCTTATATTAATAATACTTACATATTATAGAAATATAATTGTTAATGTAATTAAATATTAAAAATCAACTTAAGTAATTACTTCTGTTAATTAATGCATAATAATCATGAAACCGTGATTATTTCTCTGACAATCGTACCAACAAAATCTGTAATGGTTGCATCCCTAGTTATATGTGGTATGTTAAAAGTACAATTCCATATTATACTGTTAGTATATTGTTAATATTACTTAGTTACCATTTTATTACAATTTCATATAGCCTAATTTACCACTAGTGTAGGCCTAATAATATTTCATTGGGTTGTTTTCATTTATTAAATCCTTGTGCAAGAAGCGCAGTCTACATTGGCCTACTGACTTTGCTTCTATTCAAACCCACAAGACTTACTTAGCAAGTTTAGCTTTTGTGGTGTAGTTTAAAAATCTGCTCTAGATTTTCCTACTTATTATTCACAGATGTGCAAATAACAATGTTCCAATATTATGTGGAATTGCATATTTCTTTATTGGATAACATGAAAATTTTCTTAGGGGATGACCACCAAACCCCCAACACATAAGTAGCATCTTAATGTTTTACATTAAATCGCCCTCTGAGAGCATCTTTTAATCCCTATGGACATTATTTTTATTATTACTTGTAAATGCCCCTGTTTTGCACCTGCCTCAACTTCTCTTCTCCGTGCACTCACTGGATACTTCCAATGTGATCATTTTTCACGGCAGCACGGCTGGCCAGTTTGTTAATTAAGTAGCTTATCAATGTCATCGTCCATCCTGATGTTTCATTATTGACAATGTCCAATGTCAATTTTGTCATCACTCAACCCTAATTTTAATAAATATCTTTACTCTGAAAGTAACTTTGTGGCTGCATTTACTTTTATGTTTCTTTTTTGATGTCATGATACAGGTCTTAAATTTCATTCTAAGTGGTCTTAAAAAGTCCTAAATTTAAGTAGATGAAACCTGCAGAATGTACAACTCTAACTCTAATTCTAAAATAAGATATCTGGCCAGCACACAAAATTATTAAAACACATAGTAAGTTGTACTTTGTGTAGTTTACTAACCAAGTACTTTTATACTTTTGAGTGGGTTTGTCAAATGGTAATTTTAACCTTTAGTAGGGCTGGGGGGTATATCAGTATTATGAGGTACACCGATATAATTTCAAAAGAGATATAAAATTAGACAATACTGTTTATACCGATTTAGTTTGATATTGAGTTAATATGTTTCCATAAAGTCTTGTCAGTGTTAGCTCGTCTCTCTCCCTCACTGCGCAGCCCCGCCCCTCCCTCTGCATCTGCACACAGCCGTCTAGTCACAAACTCTTTGAACAACATGGAGGAAGACACAGTGCGGTCGACACTGCTGAAGACCTGGCTTGTAAAAAGAAAAAAACAAATAACGGTTCAGTCAATTTATCTTTTTTTACTGCTAACAGTGTTACCAAAGTTGTAATTTAATCATTAACAGGGTAAATGCCCATAAAAAAACAAAACTTTGCACCGTTTGCAAATTATGGTACTACTACAACAACTATTTTGTACTTATATTTCCAAATATTACATTTAGGTAAGATTTGAGGATTACTTATCTAAATGAACAAAGTGGAGAGGACCCATGATCCTTACCTGACTATGTATTTGTAAACTTTTGTTTATTTAATGAACTGTGGTGCAGAAAAAGTGAGCCTTTCTCTTGCAGGCTGCTTCTGTTTCTGAGGGTGAGTGACCAGTACCAGCAGCAGAGCATCTGATGATGGGAGGATTCAAACATTATGCATTTTCATTTGATTTTTTTTTTTTATTATTAATGGAAGTTCTTGAGCACATTTACATTTAAAAATAACCAGCTCTGTGAATCACTGCACTGCCTCTGCGGCTCACTGGGTGGCGCTCTGAGGCCTCCAGTGGGAGAACGGTAGAAAGAAAGAAAACGTGTGTGCTCATATCTAGTCAGTCTGATGATCTGTTGTTTTAGTTTTCCAGCTGGTCCGTGTCCCAACAGAATAAAAGGTTTCACATATCTGAAGCTGTGTTTACCTAAAACACCTAACAGCTTTCACAGAGCAAAAAACTGCAGAACCGGAAGTTAACTTCAGCTTTGTCCAGTCTGAGATAACTAGCTAGCATGCTAACACCCAGGCAGCAGGCTACATGCTACAAGAGACCTCCTCCTCCTCCTCCTCCTCCTCCTCCTCCTCCTCTCCGGTCCGACCGTCACATTAAGTGTGGGTTCTGTAGAGATACGGGGTTCTGATGGCTCCACTGTTGAATCCTGCTACATTACATCTTGTTTACAGTCAATATGAAGCTACGTGTCGGAACCAGGCCGAGCTAACGCCACGTTAGCTTCTTGTTAGCTGCTAGCTGTGTTCATGAACACTGACCTGAACATCGGTGCTATCAGAGCTCGAGCCTGCTGTTTGTCCTCCGGGGACGTTGTTGCTCCGGGGCTCCGGGTCCTGGTTGTCCTCCTCCATCCGCTCTTGTAGTGGTCCTGGTCTCTGAGATCCAGCAGGTCTCCTCTGTGACTGTCGGAGCTCTTCAGATACAGGAGCGCTGCAGGACCTCGTGGAGCTCTACGCCCCCTTAGTTACTGTTGCTAAGCAGCAGAATCAGTGTTTCCAAGATGTTGAAGCTTTTTGTCCCGCAGAGATTCACAAACCATCGTTACTGTATCAGCAGCTGGAGACTCTGTTCTGTTCTCCAGACTGCAAACAGCCTTAAAACGAGTTCTGGTGATTCAGTAAGTAAATGAAGAAATTCTCAAACACTATCACATCTAGTGCATCAAGTATGACCACTGAGAGATACCAGGACAATGTAAGCCTCACTGTTTCTGCACCGCAGTCCATTATAAACCACATAATACATATAGTTTACAAAGGCATTGTCAGGTGAGGATCAAGGCTCCTCTCACTTTGCTTAATTAGATAAGCAATCTGCAAATATTGCCAAAAGCTCTTTTGGTTTTTGAAATACAACAGAAATACAAAGTAGTACTGACAGCCATAGTTTCAGCTTGTGGTAAAACGGTTTTAATGGGCATTTAGCAGGTGAAAGTACAAATTACGTATTCGTGTGCACATCAATATCCAATAACATTTTCTGAATGCAAATTTCGAAAGTATTTATTATTGGTCACACGGTCTTGTCATATATCACCATTAGCAGTAAAAAGAAATACATGTTTTCCACCAGGGCAGTAAAATGTTTAGTTTAGCTGCTGATCTGAGCTTCCCTGCTGTTAAAGTTTCATTACCAATAATATTCATCAGATGTTTGTCTCAGGAAGGTAACAACGCATTTCTGTCCACGTAACAAAGCCATGACAGAGCGCTGGAGAAGAACTACACGAAATTACAATCCAACTACTGTACATATTACACATACAAAACCAAAAACAGAGCGCTGGAGAGAGAGAGAGAGTAACTATATGAAATTAATCCAACTAACATAACACCACAAGCCAAAGCACAGCGCTGGAGAATAAACCAATCCAACTAACAATAAATGTTTTTCTACCAGTCAGTAATAGTTTAGCTGGCTGATGCTTCCATGCTCTAAGCTAACGTTTTGGTTTTATTGCCAATTAACGTTACTGATCAGCGGATTGTCTCGCTGAGTAACCGGCAAAGCCAAACCAAAGGCTTGAGAATAAGTAGGCGCCATGAAATTAATTCATATTTCACACCACTGACAGGGGAAACATGTCACGGCTCTCTGTGATTATGGCCAGCTTCTAGCTAAAGCTATCAAACAACAGTTTTCATTTGCTAAAGTCTGACAAACAAAGTTAATTACCTGTCCAGCAGAAAACAGACAACTTCAGCACCGCTTTGAAAACATCTGTCCCACATTAACATTATAGCCTTCCATCAGGGAAAATACTAGTTTGAATTTATTACAGAGACAAATCATAAGCAAAACATTACATAACATACATTAGAGATACACATACAAAACTCATTCATACACAACTCATTCATACATAAACTCGCTCACCAACTCACACGACCCCTCCCACTAAGTTAAATAACACAAGTTGTATTAATAATAATAATAATACCATTATATTTATAAATTGAAATTTAATTAAATAGATTATAATTTATTTATTATTTTCTCTGTAAAGTAAGAAGAAGATAGTGATCAACAAAATCAAAAGCCTTAGTAAGATCAATAAAGATTGCACCTGTGAATTGGAATTTATCAAAGGATGAGAACACATCATTTGTGAACTTAGGTAGAGCGGTAGTAGTGGAAAAAATTAGGTCTAAAACCAGATTGTGATGGAGATAAAATATTGAATTGACTTACTTTGATAACATTGTGATGCACTTTGACCACAGAGACTCACTCAGTGTTTTACTGGATCACATGCAAACACATGTTTCAGAAAGCAGGCTTAACAAACTGAGCTTATCCCTGAGCTCTGAGTTGATTGAGCCTGAGGTGGGAAACTCTAATAGCCTGAAATGAAACGGTTTGTCAGACAGCCGCCTCAGGCTCTGCAGGAGGAGAGGAGTTAGAGAGAAACTGACGGTTTTCCGACTTATCCTGTGAACCTAACCTCCTCCTAATGAGGTTAGATTCACAGCATCAGTTGCAAGAGTTCCTGAGATACGGAAAACCTAGAGTTTCCCTCATCTCAGGCTTAACAGATTTTTCACAAAAGAAACGGGGCCCTGAAGAGACCGGCTCAGGTGTGTTTCACTTCTGTGTGAAAACAACTAGAAATTACATTAATTGTTCTTATGTAATTTATATGTAGCTTGGCAATCCTGTTATACATTCATGCCAATAAATTTTGAAATGCATCACATGTTGTGAGGAGATGAGTTATGGATCATTTTGAGAAACATGGATATTCTCTGAGGAGGAAAACTGTAAATACAACCTCCAGAAAGCATTTCTCGACTCAGCATCATGAAAATGGATCTAAAGCCGTGAGACTGATGGATTCACGAGGCAGAAAAACTTTGGTTACAGCGCCCCCCACATGGCAGAGTGGGGCCATATATTCTCCATGTGTGATGACGGAGGAGAGGGTAAAGTCTGATGTGTCTAAGATTTATGGTGTAACCCTCCCCCTCCCTGTCTCTGCTGGGACGTCCTCAAAGCCAATATGTTGTCTCTGGGTCATTCTGCTTCCTTCGTCCTCCAGCCGGTGACCCAGAGATCCACAAGCTCCTCCGTCATCCAGGACAAACAGTCTGCTTGTTTACCGGTCGGCTGATCTGATGGACAGTAAAAGTGGAAAGAAGTGTAAACGGGAATACAGCAGCAGCAGCAGAGGCTCTGATCGTCTTCATGATGATTCAGCAAATGGGAATGATTCCATGTGTGTTGCATCCAAATCAGAAATGAATCCTAAAAACTCTGGACTTTGTCTGCATTCCTCTTCTTCTTTCCACTTTATTTCAGCTCCTTCAGGATAGCTGAGGTCCAAATAGCTGTCCTCTTTTTCATTCTCTAATCTCAGTCTGCTGTCACACTTCATACACTTCACAAAGTCTCTGTCTTTATTGCTCCCTCACATTTAGAGCCTGAATTCTGGCTGGTTTAATGTGGTTTAATGTGGTTTAATGAGTCTGGGTCTCTCCGAGTCCAATGGCCATCCTCGATAACCAATATCGTGAAGCTGCTTAAGGTCTGGCTCTGTTTACTCAGGGTTTTCCATCCAGCTCTGAGTGTGTTCATGTGAAACAGGAAGAGTTGTTAGTTACAACATCACAACCATAAAGGAAGAGCTTCATCTGAGACCTGCTAAATATATATTAGATTTCAGACAGATTATTGGGCAGATGGTACAGGAAGCTTTCAGCTGGCAGGTGACACAATAAGACTAGAAAGTTATAAACAGGATTCGAAATAGATTCAGGTCCACACAGTTTTCAGTAAAGACACCAGTCATAGTCCACTGAAGCCAACAGGGTGTTAGTGGATGTACATAACTGTACATGTCAGTAATGACCGCTGGATTGTTTCTGATCTCCGATTTCTCTTCAGTCTTTTCTCTAAATGTGTAAATGTTGGATTTCACACCTGGTTCTATTTAGATAAAAAGAAAGAAATCAGATGTAATGTGAAAGATTACTGTTTCAGTTAGTTACTAAAGCTACAGATGAATGAGTCACGGCTCAATAAGAAAGGTTTATATATATATATATATATATATATATATATATATATATATATATACATATACATACACACACACACCAAAACATTTGATATGAACAGATGGAACCAGGTCCCATTGTTTAACAGTGTGACGTGCCTCATAGACAAATGTTTTAATCTCTCCAATACAGACAGCAGAACAGATGTCTGATGAAATGAACAAATAAAAAGGTTACAAGAAATAGTTGTCTTTGTGATATTTATTAAAAGTAAGAATGACAGTGTGATTCAGCTGAAAGGAAAGAGCTCATACACCAAGGGCAATAAGAGGCTGACCCAGAGAAACAGATAAGACATTTAATGCTAGAGAATAGTTGTGGAGTCTACGAGAAAAGCTTTTGAGCTTTGAGCCACAGTGGAAACTCTATTCTCACAAGAAAACACAAGACAAAATAATCTCACTTAAAGTGAATTATAAACATTTCTTGAATAATCAAAGATAATCTTTAAATTAAGATAAAACATTTCTATCTTGAGCTGACATGTCTTCACCTCAGTTGGAGCCAACTTGTCTCTTTTCATTGACTAGATCTGGCTTTGCTTTCAATTTGAACACAACCACATTCAGTAATAGAAAACAAAAATATACATGTAAATATGAAAATAGGGAAATATGTTTAACTACAACACAGTAACAGGAAAATGTGTTTGAAGCACACAGAAACAATATTTCAGCAAGCGTGGGGGTTCATTTATGACCTTGGGTCTAAACACAACCCTCACATTCTTGTGTTGGAGCTTTTGACCACATCCCATGGCTTTCCTAAGTAAAGCGAACTTCCTCAGTTGTCATCACATGACGCTAGTCCAGCACAGTCACATGATAACAGGTGGATGTATACAGTTGGAGATGGTAACCACTGTCTCTGGTCTCACATGCAAGTGACTCAGTGTCGTTCTGAGGTCTTGTCATAATAACTAAGCCTGATCCATTATCTGAAGAAGGCTGTAGAAAGTCTCAGCTGAAGGGTCTTCTTGATGGCTCATTGTATGTGACCACTAGCGGTGCATTTCCAATTTCAGTCTCATTCAATGGGAAGGGATCTGTGCTGCTTTATCACCACTTTGGGAGACAACGCTGCACAAAATACAGGCTTTTGGGAGAGGAGGGGCAGGTCAGTGTGTAGAAGCATTCATAGCAACATACATGCTGCTCAGAATATAGAGTTTAAATTTTACTGGGGCACGTGTCATGTGATGTGCCCCAGTAAAATGGTCAAGAACTGTTAGCAACAAAACATCTGCATTGTCCTGTCAAGTTAGTCATAGTACATAGGCAATAGTACTTTCAAAATAAATGTCTTGGTTAATGTGAAACAGCACATTGTTAAAACATTGCAGAATAACTCATCAAAAGGCAAAAGTGAGTATTTACAACATTGATTAGAGGATGAAGAGTGACTATCCTTAAGGGCACAAGAAGAGAAAAAAACTAAATGAGAGTGACAGTCAGGTAAACTTGTTCTCGTCTCTCTCAAAGTCTGATGTCGGCAGATAACAGTAGCCTAATGTTAAGCTACTGTGCAGCTGCAACGCATCTCTGTCTGTCTGTTTTTGTTGCTTGCCTGACAAATGTTAGCGTAAAATACAATTATTTATTACGTTTGATAAACAATGACAGACGACAGTGTTTTTCAACTGCAAGTCGGAAAACGCAACAATGTCGTGCGCTCACATGCTCTCTTGTGCACAAAATAAAACTGGCACATTCCAGCTGCAACCTGTTGGACCAGTACAGCTGCTTATGTTTGTCAGTGGAGTAGATACTGGATTATCAGCCAGTACAAGCACAGTTGATCCACATTCAGCTTCAATCAGTAGGAGCACGGCCATAGATGTACAGCCAGCATCAGATACAAGCAGCTCAGACCCAAATGGAACAGTTGCTGCTCCACCAAATGACCCAGCAGATTGGCCCCCAGTCTTATCAGACCAGGCGCAGAGGTCCATTCAAATCACTGGATTTTTCTGGGAAAGGTTTCCATTCAGACCTATTACAGAGACAGACTGTTTTAAAGGGGGGAGGATTGTAGTTAGAGCACTGTGGAGCCAGGTGTGACGGTGCAACAATGGCAAATTGTTTACGTGGCTCACACGTCAGGTAGGAGGGCTGCATGGCAGAATTTTGCTTAGGGCCTCAAGGAGGTCAGGACCGGCTGTGGGGGTGACGTAGGTATGTGTGCTTATGTGTCGTCAAAGTCATATCAGTGCCAATAATAATGGGCAAGGGAATTTGGTTAAGCACACACTAACTCATTCCATACGCTTTCAAAAAAATTATATCGGGGGGGCATGTGCCCTAGTAGAGCTTTATGTGTAGCAACGCCCCTGCTGTTGTCTATCCCTCGGTTTGTAGAAAGCTCAGAATATAACTACACAGCTACGTTGGTGACATTTAAGGTGACCACTCTGAGAAAAGGTTTTCCCACATTGTTCACACCAGTACGGTTTTCCTCCAGTGTGAATACGTCTGTGTCTTTCTAGGTTACCTGCTTTAGTGAAAGCTTTCCCACATTGGTCACAGCTGTACGGTTTCTCTCCAGTGTGAATACGTTGGTGAACTTTTAACATGTCGGATTTAGTGAAAGCTTTCCCACACTGGTCGCAGCTGTATGGCTTCTCTCCAGAGTGTACTCGATAGTGGCTTTTTAGATCTCCTCCTCTAGTGAAAGCTTTCCCACATTGGTCACAGCTGTATGGTTTCTCTCCAGTGTGAACGCGTCTGTGTCTTTCCAGGTCACTTGATGTATTGAAAGCGTTCCCACACTGGTCACATCTGAATGGTTTCTCTCCAGTGTGAATACGTCTGTGTCTTTCAAGGTCACTTGATGTATTGAAAGCTTTCCCACACTGGTCACAGCTGTACGGTTTCTCTCCAGTGTGAATACGTCTGTGTCTGTATAGGTCACCTGATGTTTTGAAAGCTTTCTCACACTGGTAACAGCTGTATGGTTTCTCTCCGGTGTGAACACGAATGTGTGTTTTTAAGTTACTTGATATATTGAAAGCTTTCCCACACAGGTCACAGCGGTATGGTCTCTGTCCAGTGTGAATACGTTGGTGGACTTTCAAAATATCTAATCTAGTGAAATGTTTCCCACACTGGTCACAGCAGTATGGTTTCTCCCTGGTGGCGACGTTTGAGTCCCTCTCTTCCTCTCCGTTTCTATAGCAACAGACAGCGAGAGAAAGAAAGACAGTAAGTGAGATGTCATGGTGGAGCGAGTTATCTAGCACCATCAATGCGGCTAACACTAATGAGACCAGTGTAAACCTGGTTCCATGACAACACCGCTGTGGACTCGATTTATGACCAGTGTAGTTACAATAAATCCCATTTAGAACATGTCTGTAGAACATAACCCACAATGTTCAAGTTTCAAAAAAATAAAAAAATAAAATAAAAAAGGTCTACCGCTATAGGGATCTTTTCTAAAATATTGTCAGACATATTCAGAGGCCGTAAATGGCAAAAACAAGCTCTGTAGATGTAATTTGATGGGGTGCTATTGCCCTCAAGGATCAAGTCCAGCACTGTTTCACTGCTGCCGATGAAAAAAAAAAAAAGATTAAATATCTGGGTGTCATAATTTACTCCAGGCTGTCAGAACTGTCATGGCTAAACTACACGCCTCTACTTAAATCAATAGAGTATGACCTTGTGTGATGGATGACATTGCCCATAAATATAATTTTATTTATTCAGCACACTTAAAACAAGCTAGGTGCTTTGCAGGTTAAATAGTGCCCATATAACTCATGGGAGAGATCCAGGATCTAATGGCACAATACAGAACTAGCAATAACGTTCTTGAATATCAACCGTTCAAATGCATAATTCGGGCAAGATTTAAGTATAACAAAATGGACTTTACCTCCAATGATGACAGACTTTATTAAACTCTTGCACCCAAAAGGTATTAAGATAAACATGTTATTGTTGAAAATAGATAGTACTATCTTTCTCACATTCTTAAAGTGGGAGGCAAATCTATCCATTAGTCCAGACCAATACTACTGGACGCAAATAGGTTTAAATTAGAGCCCTACTGATTTATTGTCCAGCCGGCATTATCGGCCGATTTGACGTGATTGTATTTAAGTCGGCATCTGTGTTTATAACAGCAGATATACGAGTTTAAAAAAAGAAACAGACAGATCCTTCTCTTTTCCAAAAAGACACTCAGACAGTCTCTATCATTACATGTTTAGATCACTCAAAGAAACTGGTTGAGAAAATGATGCTATCAACTGTTTGGCTCTTGTTTGGCTGTTATTAAAGATTTGGTCAATCATAACCAATTTATCAGTCTTTTTTATTCAGCACTAAGTTCATCAGTGTCGACTGGCTCTTGCACTGCTCAGTAGCACAGGTGGTATATTTTCCTGTTTGACTTCAAACATAGTAGATATAATAGAGTTATTGTTTTTCATCAGAATCAGCTTTATTGCCAAGTACAGTCCTGCTCACCATTATTAGCACCCACGAAGTTTAAGTACATAATGTGGAATATCTTCTGAAAAATTAATCAAGTGAAACAATTCTGATTTATTAAGAACTCGTGTTTGATACAAAAGAGCAAATGATAAACAATTTAAAACAAGCAGTGGGAGGAAAAAACAGAAAATCTTAAAGCTTGCTAAAGGTAGCTAAAGCTAAAAAAGGTATTGGCACCCTTTGCTGTAAATCAGTATGGAAACACATTGTGACTCACCTGTGGTAAATCACAAATGAGATTCCCCTGTGATAAATTGTCTGTGCCCATGTGACATGAATTAGCCAATGAATGATGACTTTGGTGTTATAAAAAGCCATCTGTTATGCCTGTTCCTTTGTCACAATGGTGAAGACAAAAGGAGCTGTCGGAGGACATTATAAATGCGATAATTAGCAAACACAAGACCTCCAAAGGGTATGAGGCCATCTGCAAAGACCTTGATATCCCTGTTTCAACAGTGCATAATGTTATTAAGAAGTTTGCCAAGCATGGAACTGTCAACCTCCCTGGCCGTAATGGGAATAAAAAAATATATATATCGATGAGAAGTCTGCAAAGGTTGGTTCGAAGGGTGGACAAAACACCTTGTCAAACATCCAAAGACCTGAAGGCCAACGTGGAAAAATCTGGAGTCATTGTTTCAACAAATACCATACACCGCACACTAAACCAAACAGGGCTTCATGGGCGAAGGCCAAGGAAAACACCATTGCTGAGGAAAAAACATAAAAAGAAACGACTACCAAAGATCCTTCTGGGAAAATGTTCTGTGGACAGATGATACAGGAAGAGCTTTTTGGCAGTGCACACCAACAGTTTGTTTACAGACGGCGCAATAAAGCCTACAAGGAAAAGAACACCCTTCCAACAGCTGAGCATGGTGGAGGATCCATAATGCTGTGGGGCTGCTTTGCTGCATCTGGTATTGTAGGCCTTGACCATATCACAGGAATCATTAAATCGGACAATTATCAAGAGATTTAGAGGGAAATGTCCTACCCAGTGTAAGAAAACTTGGTTTGAGTCGAAGATCTTGGGTCCTCCAGCAAGACAAAGACCCAAAGCACACATCCAAAAGCATGCAGGAACGGTTGAAAAGGAAAAAAATTGACACTTTTAAAATTGCCAGCAATGAGTCCTAATCTCAATCCGATCTTTTGTATGAGCTGAAATCTGCCATTGGGGAAAAGAAACCTGCAAACGTTCAAGAGCTTGAACAATTTGCAAAGAGAGTGGGAGAAAACACCAGCTGAGAAGAGCAAGAAGCTCACAGATGGCTACAAGAAACGTCTGGAGGCTGTCATCACTGCCAACGGGTGTGCAACCAAATATTATTGCTGCTTTTTCTTCATTGAAATTACAATATGTAAATTGAAAAACAAAATTACATTGGATCTCCAATTAAAAGATCCTGATGATATAAATTTGGTACATTTCTATTTATTTCTGAAGATATAGATAGAGGTTCTGCAAAAAATGAAGGGGTGCCAATAATGGTGAGCAGGACTGTAGGTTTAAACAGTGCTAAACATGGCAGGTTTAAGAAAAGATTCATCAGGTCTTATTTAAAAACAAGAGATGTTTCTGTGTCATATATAGTGACAATGCCCGACAGTCAGAAGGGCCTACAACTAAATTTGTGTGTCACATGACGTTTTTGGTCAAGTTATCATTGAATTATCATGCCTGCAACTTCGACTACATGTATTAACTGAACATGGAATTATAATAATAATAATGGGGTGCATTATTATTATTATTATTGAATAGCTGTTCAGTGCTGCACGAGTAGTGTACTTCTAATGAGAAAACATTTATAAAAGGAAGAATGCCTACTATTTCTGAGGCCTGTGTCAGAAAGCGGGTTTAGTGAAAGTTGAGCCCAAGATAAGAGAAACTCTGGGTTTTCGGTTTCAGAGAGCAAGATCAGATAAACTCTGGGTCTGTAACCCGCCAACTTACGCTGTGAACCCAACCTGCTTGGGAGGAGGTTTACATCAACTAACGCTGAGTTTCTCTCCGACTCCTCCTGCGGAGCCTGAAGCGGCTGTCTGATATTTCCTCATTCAGACTGTCGATATCAAAGCAATTACTTCTTTAGATACATCAGTTAAATAGGCTATAGCTAGCTAACCAGCTGATGTTATAGACAAAGTGTTTTTATGCAGAGAGGTAAACCTTACCGGCCGTTCACAGAGAGAAGCAGCGTCAGACAAGTGTTTGAGGTTTGTGAGTCCGCAGCTCTAACACTGAGTTCAGTGACTGGATTGCTGACTAGTTAGATGTTAGTCGCTTTTAGAGATGTTCGGCTGATTCCGAGGCTTGTTTCTCTCCTGTGAAGCGCACAGTTTCAATACATTGTGCTTCAAATGATCATCTCAGGGCGTTTTACAGCTGATCTCAGCACATTAGTGGAACAAGAAGAGAGAGTAATTGAGAAATAAGGTGATGAAGACATGAGAAAAAGTATGAGGATGTTTCCTCCTGATGACAAATATTCCAAGTAGCCTATAGGTGCATCTACTGTAAAATAATTTAATATGGCAGAAAAGTTAATTTTGCTCCTGTACTAATGTAACTAAAGGCTAGTTTAATGAATATCACTGTCCAATCACATCACATGTCTGAATCTCAATAAATATCAACTGTCAGGTTAGAGTTAACCCTCTTTTATTGCACGCTTGAGACTAAAATTATTGGTATCAGCGAGTTACGGTGGCGTTTCGGCCTCAGTCTAAAGGTTTTACACGCCACCAGATGCAACTGTGCTCAGCTTAAAGCCCCAAAGCTTCATAATGCTTCATCACCTCATCACTGCTCACTAACGAATGTTAGCTGATCTGACTGTTTGTGGTATTTTATCACACAGATGAGTCAGCAAGGGGAGAGGAAGGACAGACATCACAGCAAGGGACAGCAGCAGGATTAACTGCAAGATCCAGGGACTCCAGAAGAAATTAAAATGTGAAAGCAGGTGAAATGGAACATTTAGAAGAAAGGAGTGAATAGAAGATGAGTAAAGGGAGCACAGATGCCAGAAGTTAATGTAAGAGAATAAGATGTGCATTCTTTGCTCAGTAGAGGTGAGAGAAGGACGGTGGTGACCATAAAGGAGCTGAAATTCATAAAGTAAATTAGGGAGGGGATAGGGATTAGGATACATTTTGTTTTGGATTTTAATGTGCAAATGCTTAGTAATTATCCAGAAATCACATTAAAAAAAAAAAAAAGGGATTTGAAGATTTGATAATCGTTTTATAATCGCACCACAGCCCTCTGAGGTTCAAACTCTGAGTTAGTTGAGCCCGAGATGAGGGAAACTCTGGGTTTTCGGTTTCAGAGCGAGATCAGATAAACTCTAGGTTTGTAACTTGCGCTGTGAACCTGACCTGCTTGGGAGGAGGTTTACTTCAACAAACGCTCTCTGACCCTGAAGCGGCCGTCTGACGTTTCCTCATACATACTGTCGATATCAAAGACTGGAACGCAATTACGTCTTCAGAAACATCAAAATCACGGTTAAATAGGCTGTTAGTTTTTGTTTTTTAACACACGATCTTCTTGAACATGACCTCTTTTATGATCAACCTGTCATCGATGTAAGGACAGAGAGTTATCTTTGGACATCGTAAATTTATCCTCAGCACAGAATAAAATCTATAAGCTG